AAAATATAAAATATGCAGCTACAGTGTTAGGCTCTAGGATCCCGACAACCGAACTGTAGGGATATCAGTACCAACAAGAGCAGAAATACTCTTACTCCTACGTTTCTTTGAGTCAAAGTACTATAATAGTAAGGAGTATTTTCTTCTTTTACTTTTCAAATATAGGAGGAAATAAATCTGCTCTTATTTTCGATTGCTGGGAATGAATAACTGAGGTTGTGGGTGTGGGGGCCTTGAGGCTTGAGGCGGTGCTGAGAAAGGTCAGTAGTGTGTATAAGTTGAAAACCGAGAGGGAACAATTAATGAACAATGCGCGCTGAGCTCTCGGGTGGGCCTGCCTAATCTGAGGAAAATGTTGCCTGTGTTTGGCTTTCAAAAACCCTGCTACGTTTTTGTTGTTAGAATAATGGTACCCCAGAGATAAACCCCGCAAGAACTCGGTTAAGGGGATGTATCTGTAAAATCTCAGTGCTGCGCGACAGGATATTATGAGCCTTTTGATTTTCAGGCAATGAGTTCCCCTGTCGACTCAAAACGCAACTAGAACAAGACTTCCAATCCGACCTCTCTGGGCAGTGACCTCTGTTCAGCTATATTTACATAACATGACGTGTAATCATCGAGGGAAACTGGGTTTTTTTTTTATTCTGATGAGATATCCCGCCGCAAGCGACTGAGAGTCATTGCGCTTTATGTTACCTTTGTATAGACACCTACAGCTCAGTAACCGTGTTCCTTGGTCTTGACACGCCCACAGTGACGCCCAAAAATGTAGGATGGCTGGGAAACGGGTCATCAAAGACAACTATTACGTTGTCGTATGTGTCAAGTAAGAAAATATTACATAGTGACTTGCGGGGTACCCGGTTTTGTGGAGGGGGGGGGGTTGCCTTTTGTTTTTTATAGATAGATAGATAGATAGATAGACAGATATAATTTCATATAATATATGGTAACAATTTATATCCACGCAGTCATACTAAACCTGGCAAATCTTCCAAACAACCAAGTCTAGCAAATACCTCAACTCGCCGTAGTTGAAACCCAAATACCCTGGCTGTTTTGTGTCCCAGTGGTCTGCCACGGCGCCATTGTATTGTTCAGCCGGCGACATTATATGCGTACACATTGTTTTTCTGTCACTGTAAGCACCTTATTAGTCCAGTGTCTGTGTATGGGTAGAGGCAACAGTCTAATCGCCATAAGAATCGGGCATTTCAATGCATTGGTCAAAGTGTAGTATCAGTGTCGTAATAGCTGGTATTATTTCATTCGGGAATTTGGAGGTGACGAATTGCTGTCTAGACAAAGCGGCTTTTCAAGAGGAAAGAACTGATGTTGGAAACTATGAACCTTTACCAAAGGGCCTGTTGAAACTGTAGTTAGGCTTTTATTATTTCGCTTACGAGCTTAAACTGGGGAGGGGGGGGGGAGAGAGAATGGATGGGAGTAGGGGAACAGACGAGAACCGGTAGGTTCGACGTGACATGGCCGTTGACAGGGGGATAGGGGGCCCTGGAAAAGACATGATATATACTCAAAAGGTGAGGGTATTGCTGAAAGGTGAATGACCATCTGATAAGAGTAATCAAAATTCTCGACAATATCATACAGATTTTGTAGCTGGTTGAAAGCATTAAAGAGCATGGCCTTCACCTGAAATGTGTTGTGACCAATTAATCATGTGACAGATCGAGTACACGAAGTCACATAGCTCAGAGAAAGGCTCCACTCGCAAGACTGAAAGGCTTCTCACGCAGGACTATTTAGTTTGCTCTTTTAGAGTGGCTGTGCAACTGATAGATACATTTACACCCATGCACACACATACACGTACGTGCACATGCACACACACACGCGCGCGCCCGAGCGCATGCGCAGCGCAGGAGAATATACATTATCACTATCTAAATGCAAGACAGAACTCTTCTCAGACATACGAGTGTCTTATTGGGGTTTTTTCAACTTCACACGCCTCTTTTACTGACTTGTCGATTCCCTTCTCCCCTTCCATCTGTCTGTCTTTCTGTGCAACTGTATGCCTGTCTGTCTGTTTGTCTGTCTGTCTGTCTGTCTGTCTGTCTGTCTGTCTGTCTATTTGTCTGTCTGTCTGTCTGTCTGTCTGTCTGTCTGTCTGTCTGTCTGTGCAAGTGTATGCCTGTCTGTCTGTCTCTCTGTCTGTCTGTCTGTCTGTGTAAGTATATGTGTTGGGGGGGAGGGTGGGAGGGTGGGTGGGCTTATGTGTGTATTTGTATGTGTGTGTAGGTGTGTGTTGGTTTGTGTGTGTTTGTTCGTGCACTATGTGTTTCACTTACTCTCTCCCTTCTTTTCTCTTCTTTGCTCTCTCCCCCATGCCCCCCCACACACACACAAACACACACACTCATACACACACACACACACACACACACACACACACACACACACACACACACACACACACACACACACACACCCTGGATAACAAATGGCATTTATAATTATATCCTTGAAAGCTTGTTAGCGAGCTCGCTTCTCTTGTCAGTGAAGCGCTCTCCATAATTTTTTACCGGTAGGAAAAACAATATTATGTTCTCCAAGGGGGTGAACGACCGCCTGATCATTGATCAGTGCTTCGAAATTCTTGACAGTATCATTGTTTTATCGAAAATTTTGAACACCCAAATGAGCTAAACAAATACTTGACACATATTACCACGCTCTTTTTCTCATAATTTCATGCTCATTATAATGAGACTAAAGTAAGATGTAATGACCCCTAAACTATAAGGATTTTAATCGTAATGGATACCTATCTATTTGTTTTAAATGACTGAAAAGGAAAAAAGAGAAACGCATTACCTGGTAAAATCTACGCATATGCACCAGCCGTTAGTAGGGAACTAAGCTGAAAGTAGGTAATAGTATAAGCAAAAGGAAATAATACATGTATATTTTTTTAAAACAAACAAAAACACATTACTCATTTCCAACAACTCGTGCAGCAGTAAACAGCCTTCAAAAGGTGTCACACACTTTTAGTGGCCTGATCTTGGGAGGCGCGCAAGCAATGGCCTTGTCAGAATAAATTCCTCAAGCAGAGACTATTCGAAACAACACATGATTAGTGAGATTATTGAGTTAGATTAGCATAGTATTACACTGTATTGCGCAGTCTTGACTAAAATCCCGAGATAATGATTATGGGATATTTGAGACTTGGTCATTTCACTCTGGGAATATTCCTGGCCGGAGCAGTAAGATCAATATTTCACCTATGGGATCCAGAATAATTAAGCTGTGAAAATGAAGGAAATGGCCAATGTGTACGTTTCTTTCGGGTTTTTTGTATTTTTTGTTGTTGCTGGTGTTGTTGTAGTTGTTGTTGTTGTTGTTGTTGTTGTTGTTGTTGTTGTTGTTATTGTTTTGCTGGGGGGCTATTGTTGTTGGGGGGTTGTTTTTTGTTGGGTTTTTTTTTGTTTTTTTTTGGGGGGGGGGGTGTTTGTATGAGGTTTTTTGGATGTCCAATGAGTACCGTCTGAGCGAATATTTTTTCTCTCTCTGTGTTTTCCATTGTGTCATCTTCAATGTCAGTTCGAACTTAGGCGTCCCTAGATACTCCTCAGACATTAAACTTTCTTTTACTCAAGTATGCATCCAGAGGGAAAATAGGCAAATATTGGTCATATTTCTGTGGAGCCCTCAGAAAACTAAAAGTCGAATTAGTTTTAGAAAATTATTCTTAAATCCAGGAGTCTTTTAACCTCTGATCCACATTTTACGAACGAAATTCCAAAACGAAAGAAGATTGAGTCGAGCTTATTTACAGGATTAAATGACTGCTCAAATATCATTTGTTTGTCAGAGCTTACCCATGAATATATAGATCTAGTCTTTTAATCTCTCTCTCTCTCTCTCTCTCTCTCTC